TAGCATCTGAAGGGGTGATGGTCAGGAAAGGTTACCCCAACAGAGCCTAGGAACAGCCCGGGGTCGGGGGCCTCTGAACGCAGTGCAGGCTGTCGGAGCAGGCTGCAGGCTGGAAGGACGGTTCAGCTCATCAGAAGCTCACTGCCCGCACAGCTGGGGACTCTAGCTGTCACAAACGTAGCGCCCAAAGCCTCCACCTTCGTTGCTGCCTTACCGCAACCTCGGAATACGCACATGGTTCAGAAAGTTGATGGAAGGAAAGATTAGGAGCAGGTGTGATGGCTCACCTGGCCAATCTTCTGCCTGCAGGCGCTGGCATCCCATGTGGTCGCCAGTTCATGGCCTGGCTGCTCCACGTCCCACCCAGCTCCCTGCTATGGCCTGGGAAAGCAGGCGAGGACAGCCCAAAGCCTTGGGATCCTGCACCCGTGTGGGAGACCTGGAAGAAGCTCCTGGCTCTGGGCTTCAGCTCAGCTCAGCTCTGTCCACTGCAGCGACTTGGGGAGTGAATCAGCAAACAGGAGACCTCTCGCTGTCTCTCCTTCCTTCTGTAAATCTGCCTTTCAAATAAAAATAAGTAATTTTCTAAAAAAATGATTAATAGAGTGGGTTTGCCCTAAGAACTTTCAAAAGGCATCGATACTTTCTCATAATACAGATTTCCATGGACTTTCTGAAGACCTTCAAAATGTGTGGATTTCAATTGTTTCTGCACCAATATATAATTATTTTAAATAGCATTTCCCCATCAATATTTACAAGTGCCCTTGCACACGATGCAGCCCACACAAAGACCTCGTATCTTAGTTTTGGTGTGAGTTCTGCATCGCAGGCCCCCGTGTGTGTCTGATTACACCCTGCTGCGTGGGATCATTCCAGCAATGGCTCCAACACGTCAGGCACTCTCCCAGGCACAGCACCAGGGCCCCAGCCCTGACGAAGGAGTGGACACCAGACGCAGCAGTCAGAGCCCCAGTCGGGGCAGCTGCCTCCCACAGTGCCAGGCTGCAGCCCTGGCTCCACCGGGGCGTCCAGCTGCCTGCCCTGGCCGACAGCTCCAGTGCCTGGGCTGCTGACACCCACGTGGGAGGCCTGGATGGAGCTGTGAGCTTCCGGTTTTCACCCAGCTCAGCTCCAGCTGCCAGGCCTCTGCCGGAGTGAGCTAGCGGATGGAGCCCCGTTTGGCCCCCGTGCTTCTCAAATGAGTCAGTCCAAGGTGGACAGGCACACAGAAACTGCAAAGCCTTCTTCACGCACACGCCCGAACACCCCACAGGCCACCCGAGTCTGCTCAAGGCCCACACCGCCAAGGGGGCCTCTCACCTGGGGCACCTGCAGTCCCTAATCAGACAGCCTGGGCCTCGGAGGCTCACAGGAGGTGGCAGTGGGGCAGCCACCAAAGCAGGCCCAAGGCCACCCGGGACTCAGCCAGTCCTTCTGCAGGAACCTGAAGAATGCCCGTTCTCTCCCCTCCTCCACTGCGCCACACAGCACTACAGGAACCCGGCAGAGGCGAGGCGTCTTTTTTTTAAAAAAGATTTATTTATCTTTATTAGAAAGGCAGACGGATGGAAAGAAAGCTCTTCCATCTGTTGGTTCACTCCTCAAGTGAGTGCAACAGCTGGTGCTGAGTCGATCCAGAGCCAGGAACTTCTTCCGGGTCTCCCACAGGCATGCAGGGTCCCAAGGCCTTGGGCCGTACTCGCCTGCTTTCCCAGGCCACAGGCAGGGAGCTGGGTGGGAAGCGGGGCTGCCGGGACTCAAATTGGCACTGATACGGGATGCCGGAAGTTGCAGGGGGAGGACTAGGCAACTGAAGCGTTGTGCTGGGCCCGAGCAACTCTTTCACATCAGCTGTTCCCTGAGCATTCTAAGACACGTTAAACTGCACCTTCTCACCACGTCCCAAACCAAAGCCACCGGCCTGTAGCCCAGGAAACGTGGGAAATGAGTTTTCCAGGGCAGAGCAGGCACGCGACGGGGAGGGCTGCAGTGGTGGCGGGCAGCAGCGGCAGTAAGCGGCAGAGGAGCACCCACCAGGGGCAGCAGCCAAAGAGGACAGCTGCCCCGAGCCCACGCTGGCTCACGCCACCCTGGGGAACAATACCTTAGAGACAACATGGTCCCAGCTTGAAGCTGAGCCTGGTCACATCCACCCTGCTTTGGCACAGACTCGAACTGACTAAATATTATGAGAACACCATTCCATTTTTTAAAATTAGCCATGAAGAGCCCACCGGTTCACCTGTCCCACAGACGCAGTATTACCTGGGGAACAGACACATTCCCGTGACGTGCGCTTAAATATCAGAAACTTCCTGTGAAAGCATTCCTCTGCCAGCCAGCAGGCGTGTGCGCGTGCAGTATGAACTGCAACCTAATTCCCAAGAGAACAAGGACAGGAGCGAAACAGCAAGTAACGCAGTCAGCCACCCCAACAAGACCAACTAGGCTGGCACGGGGACGCAACAGCCAAAGCCCAACCCAGATGCCCTTCGACGGGCGGCACACGCGATGCCTGAGGGTGCCAGGCGCTGTACGCCTGGCAGAGAACCCAGAGTGGTGCTCCTGCGCCCCCGTCAGGTGCCACACGTGCTCACTGACACGGCTACCTGGGTCCTGGATGCTCCTGGGGTTAGGGTCACACGGTAACCTTACTGCAAGGAACACAGATCCTGGAGGCATGGAGAGCCATGTACTCCCCTCCTAAAGCGGGTGCCTCCCGGGGCCTGTTTCCCACCTCTAACCTGCTTCATCTCCCACAGGGAGAACTCACATTTGTGCCCGATGCTCGACTCGTACCATTTCACGTGGCCCTTGCACACCCACCTCCCCGTGTCACCTTACAGCATGACCTGTCTGCCTGGGCCGGCCAGGAAGGAGGCCCAGGGACCAAGCTGGTTGGCCACACTTCCCTAGAGGGGACAAGACACGGTTTATCCTTCATAGCACCCTTGGTGGACCCCAAGTTCACGAAGGATGGGCCCTCCGTGCCTCTGCATCCCAGGCTGACGCTCAGAGGGACAGGTGAGCGGACAGGCAAGCCAGCCTGCTTCATGGTCAGATGTGCCCTGTCAGCCACCTGCTGGGAGCCAACCAGACACCAGGGGGCGTTCCTCCCCAGCATCACAGCCCATCCTTGGCATGGAGACCCTGAGAAACCCAAGAGGCAAACACAGGGGCTCCTGGTTCCTGGAGAAGCAGTGGGGCAGACAGCCAGCAAGGAGCCTGGGCCGCATGGGGGGTGGGGGGCGGGCAGAGGTGCCCCTGCAGCAACCGCTCTCCGCTTCCCTCTGCCACTCACACACGGTGTGGAGGTCTCCCTTTCTACGATGCAGAGGCATGAGAGAGGAATAAGGCCAAGGGGGCCCCTGGAGTACAGACCACAGAGCTCACCGGGACATCCCAACCCGGCGTGCCGGGGCACGTGCCTGGCCCGTTGTCACTCACATGACAAATGATCTGGAAGGACAGGGAAGGTGCTCTGACGAGAGCTGTCACAAGCAGCCACGTTGTCACCCCTGAGCCTCCAGCGCCCAGGCGCGGCTCAGGCTCGGTGCTCCAAGACCGAGAAAGCCGCGAGAGCACACCTGCTCGGCTGTGCTACAAGACCGACAAAGCCGCGAGCGCACACCTGCTCGGCCGTGCTCCAAGACCCACAAAGCCACGAATGCACACCTGCTTGGCCGTGCTCCAAGACTGACAAAGCCCCGAGAGCACACCTGCTCGGCCGGCGGTAGCTCTCAGTGCGGATGGCAGAAGCACCTGTGACTTAGTGAAACCAAGGCAGTGTGCGTGGCAGAGTGACACCCAGCCTCCGCAGAGCGGCCTCCTTTGCAAGGACATTTTCATGCAACTATCTGAAGGACCCATATTCACTCAAAGCAACTTACAACAATCGCAGCTACCAACTTGCCATGGATGTCCCGTCCTTGTCAGAATCCATGAAACCCAAATACCTCATGTAAAGAAAGGGAGGGCTGAGAACAGGCAGGGAGGGCACACAGCCCCACGGGCACCTGTGGGTGCCAGCTGATGTCCGGATACTACAAACGGCAGGCTGGAGCCATACCCTCCCACCAGCGCCCCGACCGGAAGGCGTCCGGGGTGCTCCTGCCCCCCACCGCCTGGGACATCCTCAGCAGGTGACCCAATTACTGCACCACATTGCTAACTCTCAGGTGTGGCACTCCTGGGGTGGGGCTTCTCAGGGGTGACCACGTCACGGGGTGGGGCCACCACCAGCACGTCCAGTGTCCGCACGGGCAGAGACCGGAGGCGGTGGCCCCTGCCCCGACGGCACGCTGCAGCCAGAGGCCCTGGCTCAACAGCGGGCTCACCGCGGCCTTCCCAGCCCACTTGTCAGCCCACGTTAGTTCATCTCACAGAGCTGGGGTGCCAGCAAGTAGAACAATGTGACCTTGCCAGCCTCTGGTACAAATTAATTCACTCAGGAGTTCATTTATTTATGCAGAGCCATCACAAATGTCATTACGAGGCAGCCATGGAGGACAAACGTGCCCCCAGGCTCAGCTCTGCCAGCCCCAGGGGGGTGGAAACACCCTATTCAGAGGCCAGGGGGTCCACACGGGGTCCTCCAGGCTCCCACGTCTGTGGCAGCCGGGCAGCAGCCCATGAACGTCCTAACGGACCTAGCGGGGCTTCCAGAAAGTTCTTAACAGGAGAGGCAGCTGGCCAGAGTGAGCTGGCAGACCCCAGTTGAGTGGCCCGGTGTGACCAGGGCTGGGCCCCACGTGGCCTGCACAGCGTGGGTGGCTCTGCCCTGGGGCTGTAGATGACCCCTTGCCCCCCTCAGGTCCCTTCGCACCACAGGACCCCCTCACGGGTGGGACGGGGACGCCCCTGCCAGGCCCCGTGCCTCTGCACAGGGATGGGGGGGGCTTCCCCAACTAGTTCCTCCGATCTTGCCCCTCACCCTCCCTTCTCTAACCCGGCGGAAGCCCCACCCCGGGGCCGCAGCCCGCCCACCCGCCATTTACCGTCCTGGAAGACCCTCTCCACGTTGAGCCCGTACGTGGCGCACGTCTCGTAGTAGGTGCAGCGCTTCAGGTCATTGGACAGCTTCCGCGCACGCGCGTCGTCAATCACCCGTGGGTTGCTGGAACTGATGGCGTCTGCAACAGAGGACACCCGGGACAGCTCAGTGCGGGGGGCGGCCCGTGCAGACGACACCACCACGTCCCCACGCCCATGAGGGAGTCTGGAAGGGTCGCAGGGGTGGGGGTCGTCACCGTGTAAGCAGCTTTTCCGCTCTGCACCCACACCCCACCCACCTCAGAGCCGGGTGGCCACGGGGTCGGGCAGGGATGACCTGGGAGCATGGAGGCAAGGAATGGCAGGGGTGGGGAGGTGGCTGGGGTACACTGGGCCAGAAGACAAGGCTGAAGGGAGAGAGAAGCCCTGTTCCTGCGGACAGGAGGCACCGTGCAGCCGGCTAACTGCCCTGCACGATGTCACACGGGTTCTCATGCCACCGCCTGCCTCCTGCCTGTTCCGTGCACCCAGGCTATCAACACAGGAAGGCTGGCTCCTGCATGGAGGCAGGTGGTCTGGCTGGCCAGGGAGAGGGCGGGACCCAGGAGGACGGATCTGAGGCCTGACCAACCAGGAACACCAGCAGGCCCCGGGCGGGCAGCCACACCTGCAGGGGCTGTGGGCAGAGTGGGCGCCTGAAGGGGCAGGGACTGGATCGTGGGAGTGAGGCTGTGCGAGCAGCAGACCACCTGGAGGGTCCAGGACTTGCAGGAGGGCCATGCAGGCCACCAGGGCTCCAGATGGCCCACTGGTCCCGGGTGACTTGGACAGGAGGGAACCCCACTCGTGCCCCATACTGGCATCTGAGTAGCAGAGGGGTGAGCTCCGGCACTGACGGACACTGTCACGCTCAGGAGTGACAGGGGCAGCGTCTCCCAAAGACTCCACACCTTTTAAAAAAAATTTATTTATTTTTATTGGAACAGAGAGACAGAAACATCTTCCACCCACTGGTTCATTCACCAAGTGGCTGCAACGACCAGAGCCGAAGCCAGGAGTCAGGAGCCTCTTCTGGGTCTCCGACGTGGGTGCAGGGTCCCAAAGCTTTGGGCCGTCCTTGACTGCTTTCCCAGGTCACAAGCAGGGAGCTGGATGGGACATGAACCGGCGCCCATACGGGATCCTGGGCATGTAAGGCAAGCATTTAGCCACTAGCCTATTGCCGGAGGCGCCTTCCTGAGCCCAGGTGTCTCTGGGAACTCCCACGGGAGCCTACGCCAGTGTTTCCTCACTGACTGGGAGCGATCCAGGTCTCTGCTGTACCTGCTGCAGAGCCAGGCCTGCAAGCCAGCGGGCAGCTGTTCCCGGCTTGCTGTGCTAACCAAGGCACCTCTGAGCATGGACAGCAGGTGGGGGCGCTTGTTGAGGCGGCAGCGGGACAATGTTACCAACCTCTCTCTCCAGAGCTTTCATGGGAAGTGGGAGCAAGGCCCCCTGCTCCCTTCGGCCCCCTGTCATCCTGACCCCGGGCTGCCACACCCCCACCACCGTCGGTAGGAAGCCCACTCCACTCGTGTCGTGTCTGTGCCTGGCGCTGGACCTCACGGGAGCACACCTGCCCATCGCAGCACACAGGCGCTGCCATTCCTGGCCATGAAGTCTCCCTGTCCCGCCCCTCGCCCCTTCCTGTCCTACAGCATATCCACGCAGCCCCCTGGCACGGCACCCTCAGGAACAGAAACTGCTTGTGCAGTTCTTTCTAGTCCAAGCTGGCGGGGTGGGCAATGCCAGGCCCTGCCCCTACAACCTGGCCTCCTCCTCTCCTAGACAAGGAGTGGGTGGGACCTGCCTAGCGGGTCTCAATAATTCCTGCTTGCAGGAACGGATCTCCGAACGCTCCCGGCAGCTTCAGGCAGGGCCCCCTAGAGGGAAGTCCCATGTCGCAGCTCTGGAAGAATTCTGAAGCGCCCCCATCTAACATGCAAAGTCTGCACAAGGCAAACAAGGACCTGGTTTTCGGGCTGTGGCTGGTGCACTGTCGCCACCAGGGGGAAGCAGAGGCATTTAAAAAACCCTTCCTGTCTGTTCCACACAGCTGACTCCTTCCCCAGGGAGAGGCGCACACAGCACAGACCAGATGTGAAGAAATGACGCCCCACCCCGCAAAAAACACAAAGAATGAAAGCATAACGCAGCTCCCCCGGGCGGTGAGCGTGTCACGAGGCATCACGGCCAGCGACGCTGCTGTCAAGACGGCCTTGCCTCTGCCTCGCCAGCTCCCTACGGACGCAACGCACAGAGCTGGTGTCCCACTCCGTTGCGCGAGGGTCACTGGGGCACGAGGCCAAGTTCTAAAAAAGGGACCTGGAACAAGACACGCACCCGGTGTTAAACGCTCCTTTGAGCTCTGCTGGATTAAAAATAAGACGGCACACAGGAAGGAAGCAAGCAAACCCACGCTCTGTGTCCGAGGGAGAGTTTAACGGCACGGCGGCTGCTGCAGGGAAGCGACACACACCTCGCTCTGCCTAAGGCCCGGGAGCAGAAGCGCTGGGGAGCGGGGCGCTGGGGGCCGGGGGCGCTGGGGAGCGGGGCGCTGGGGAGCGGGGGCGCTGGGGAGCGGGGGCGCTGGGGGGCCGGGGGCGCTGGGGGGCCGGGGGCGCTGGGGAGCGGGGCGCTGGGGAGCGGGGGCGCTGGGGGCGGGGCCACTCGGACAGGACAGCACAGTGTCACGGGTGCTCGCCGTGCAAGCCGCCGGCGGGGAACCATGCCTTTGGAGACAGCTCCGCACAGCCCTCCTGCACGCGCAGCCCCAGCCAGCAGGTGCCCACTCACCCTGGGTGCCCACCAGCACCAGCGGCACCTCGCTCGTGCTGCGGTAGTTGGCCATTCGGCTGTAGTAGTGGTAAACTGTCTGGAAGCTGATCTCGTCCTCCAGGCTGAAGACAAAGATGACCGCGTCCACCCACATAGCGAACTGGGGAGAGAGGAGTGGACAAGGGCTGAGAGAGGGGCTTGGGCTGCACAGAATCTGGGCGCCGGCCGGGAGTGGGGGGCGCCTGCAGGAACCCCGGGTGCTGGCTGCTCCCCTTGCGTGGTCACTGGACTCCCACCGACGCCTGGAGAGCACACTGCCATTTTCTTTCCTTAGGCAAATTAACAAAGATTGGGCATCCCTAGCGCCTTGTGTCCACTGGGGTCAGCCACAGGCCTCTGCCAGCCCCACCGGGGGCCCAGCACTTCCAGAAACCACCAACTCAGCTGTTGCAGGTTCTTCCACTCTACCAAGGCTTGTGCTCAAATGCGAGGGGGCGGTGCATGCCTGGTCACCCTGTGGACAGGAAGGAACCCTGGGACCCACACTTTGCCCACCGCATTGTCCTGCTGCCCAGCTGGCCGCATGGGAGTGTGGGTGCGAGAGCCCCTTGCTGTGGTGGGTCACACAGTGACTGGGTGCCACTGAGACAAGGACACGGTGTTCTGGCCCTTCCGGGGCCCACATCCTGCCTCGCTGATGTCCACCCAGCACGGACACATCCACGCCATCAGCCACACTCTACGCTCGTGCCGTGTCTGCACACACGTTCCCTGTCCTGAGTGGGCGGCACTGCCGTAGCCACAACACCACACCTCTGGCAGCAGAACATACTTGCTCGGTGCTGGCGTTTCAGTCCTGGTACGTCTTACACTCGGTGGTGTTTCATTCATCCCAGCGGGGCCATGTGAAACCCTGACACACTCTGAACAGCTGTGCAGCCTTCCCACGCGTGAGTCACCTGACTCCAGCACCAACCATCTCTGTTTATCTGCTGGGGCCAGTGCAATGTTAGGCATCCCATAGCTACGTTGTCCTGTGTCCCAGCTGCCCCACTCCCCGCCCAAGCCTGGGATAGCAGCGGAGGATGCCTCAAGTGCCTGGGTCCCCGCAGCCACAGGGGAAAACCAGGAGAAGCTCCTGGCTTCGGATCATCTCCGCTCTGGCTGATGCAGCCACTGGGGAAGTGAAGCAACAGGTACACAACTCATCGCTCTCTCTCTCTCTCTGTAACTCTGCCTTTCAAATAAAAATAAAGTTTTTCAGGAAAAAAGACTATTTATTTGAAAGGCACAGGTGGAGCACAGGTGGTGCAAGAGACAGTGAGATCTCACACCTGCTGTTTTACTCCTGAAATGACGGTCATGGCCTGAGTTAGGCCGGGCCAAATGCAGAAGCCTGGAGCTCCAGCCACGCCTCCCTTGCAGGTGGCAGGGCACACATATTCGGCTCATTTACCGCCGTTTTCCCAGGCACATGTAAGCCATCATTCCCATGGTTTAAAAGCAGGAGCTGCAGCCGGCACCCAGATGACATGGCAGCAGCTGAACCCACCACACCCACACCAGCCCCATTTCCAACAGCTCTCTGGACATCATTCTCTCACCCCAGCTCTCGTTCTCACAAGGAAAGTTCCAGAAGCAGTGCCAAGGACGTGCGTAAGACTGAGTCTACCACGGCCGTAAGTGGGGTTTGGCGCCTCCCTGTTCACAGGCAGCCGGTTATGCCGGGAGGAGGCTGGTAAGCTGGTTTAGCAGGCCAAGCCAGCAGTCCATCACATGCATGCCTTCTTAGTCTGCAAGGCTGCTCATCTTTCAAGGAATCCTGACAGTCGGCCATAACGGGCAGCAGATGAGCTGGGGGAGTGGCCTGGAGTCAGCCACCAGGAGCAGAAGCGGATTCTACGCCCCGCCCGGCAGCTGGCCACACCACGCTGCTCCAGCGGAAAGGGAAAGGAAAACGGCAGCCACCTGCAGATGGATGCTGTTGAAGCGAGATGGCACATCAAGGCCCAGGCGTTGTGGGTTCTCTGCGCCCCCTCCTGGGAGGACACCAGGCAGGGCCCCCGCCCCCTCCAAGCAGGACCCTAAAACGCCAGGGGCTGCGTGGCAGTACTCACCTGCGCCTCCGGGGGCCCTCCCTCATCGCGAATCAGCAGCAGGTAGCTCTGTCCGTCCACCACGATCTCCTTCTTAAACCTGCCACCTGCCACGCACACACACACACACACAGAAGGGCTGGTTACGCAGGGGCCAACCAGGCTCAGGCCAGGCAAAGACGTGGGCTTCGCTTGTGGAAAAACACGGCCCCTCCCTGCAACTTAGCAGTGGCAATGGTGACAGTCCCAATGGGGACCTCTAAGAGCCGTGCCAGTTTGGTCCTGCAGGCCACTCGCTGGCTGGGGACACAGGACCCGGCCATCGTCACTCAGTGTGCCTCGTCGGAGGTGAGCTGGCCGCGGCATTGGGGCAGGAGCTGGGCTTGAGGCCCCGTATTCTCCTCAAGAGAAACCCAGTTCTGGCGGGAAAACACACAACAGCACAAGGATGGTGTTTCCGGAGTCACAGGTCACAAGTAAGGGAGGGGTGCTGGGCTACTACACGTGGGTTAGACAGCAACTACGAGGGGTGCCCGCGCACACAGCACGCACGGACACGCGGCAGCACGCAGGGTTAGCGGCGGGAACGGACCACTGGCACGGGGTGCAGACACGGGCACGGCCGGCAGGACCCCAAAGGGCCTCTCAGGAGCCTGGTCCTGGCCCACCCTCAGCTGACCCTCATGGATTCCCAGAACATACCAGCCCCTGGTTCTCACTTTCTGCTCCTTTGTGAAGATGGCACCCGGAAACACCACCTAAGTCCCACACTACAACGCTGTGGGCGGGGTGGGGGGGGTGGGCACCAGAGCCACATCTGGCTCTCTCCTGCAACCACTGCCTGTGTCTGGCCAACAGAGACCGTGTCACCTCACCCCAACCCACCCCAAAGATGACACAGCAACCACGGAGGCCAGAAAAGCTCACCACCCTACTCAGGGGAGCTGACTTCCCATGCAAGCTGCACACACACACACACACCACACACGCGTGCACACACACCACACACACGCACGCATACACACACCACACGTGCACACACACATAAACGCACACGCACGCGTGTGTACACACACCACACACACAGTGTACACGGCGGGGCAGGGGCAGTTTGTTCAATAACAAATAACCAGGAAAACTTTTCAATGAAGCAGAGAAAACTCGCAACTGGATGTTGCTATCCCCGAGTCCCCAAACAGGCAGGACAGAGCGCCTGGGGATCAGTCACCTGGAGCCACCTGAGGTGGGCAGGTGAGTAGGATAGCCCAAGATGACAGGGGCCGCTGGACACGGCCCGGGACGATTGGGGCCGCTGGACACGGCCCGGGACGACTGGGGCTGCTGGACACGGCCCGGGACGACGGGCCAGAGCTGCTCCCCCAGGTGCAGGTGCCTGGGTGCAGTTGGGGGAGGGGAGGTAAAACGGAAGGACACCACCTTCCCAACGGGTGACAAGCCAGGAGACATCTAACACATGGCTGGCATGCCCAGAGGTGACAGTCACGCCTCCAGCACCTCCCAGAGAGCAGCGCCTTCTGAGCGTCAAGCCATGATGCTGCCGTTCGTGGGGAGATGAGATGATTCCGACCCTTTCAGGGCGCAGGCGCCCAGCTCTCACGCCCGTGTGGAGGAGCGGCCACTTCCAGCCAGCCCCGCTGAAGGGCAGCTCCCGTGCTGCTTTGTGAAAGCCCCAACTGCCAGAGCACACCTGTGCCAGGAGTTACCAGTACATTCAAGGCAGTTCACAGACTTTCAGAACAGAACTAGCCCTTCCCCCCCACTGGCAGGGCAGAGCTGGCCGCCAGCGCCCTTGGCCAACGTGCCTTCAGCTGTGACCTGTTGCCCACAGCCAGGAGAAACAGGAGGGTAGAGCCCCCGGTGGGCGGTACAGACTGAGCCCCCAAGTGCCCTGTGGGTGGTATTTGGGAATCGCTGGCCGTCCACAGGTGCCCAACTGTCCAGCAAGCATGGACACTGCCTGGGCCACAAGCAGCACTAACATCACACACACTCATCACACATGATGTCACCTTTGTGACCTCATCCCAGTCGTAGCATCTTTGCGCCACCAAAGACACCGACCAGGACACCACTGAACCCCATATGCAGTTTCCTTCTAGAATGTCTGCCCATCACGGGGTGCAGAAAGAGGGCTCAGGGGATTGCCCCAAGGTGCATGGGACAGAAGCTTGAGCAAGAATGGGAGGCTCCCAGCAGAGAAGGGAAGACAGGGCGGGGGCAGACAGAAACACAGATTCCACAGCACAGAGCGGTAGCAAACTCCAGCCCCAGGCCCTCCCCAGGACCGCTCCTGCAGCAGACGGGACCCCGCAGGGCAGGCCTGGAACAGCGCTGGGCGGAACTGAGCCTCCAGTAAAGGGGGCCAAAGCAACAGGGCAGAGGCCTGGACAGTGAGGTAACACACAGAGCCGAGCAGGGGCCACTGGGCAGGGCGCTGAGCTGACCCGGGGGCCATGGGCAGGGCACTGAACTGACCTGGAGGATACGGGGCAGGGCGCTGAGCTGACTTGGACACAAGGACAAGGAGGGTCCTCAAAAGAAGGGGCCTGAAGAATGAGCAAGAGGCCCCCAGAAGGATGGACAGAGGCCCTGACCATGTAACCCTGAGGACATGACGCCAAGACAAGGAGAGGAGGAACTCGCCTCAAATGCACTCAGAGCCACAACAACGCGGGCTCGGCACACACAGGCAGACACTGACCGCGCTGAGAGCGACCAGACCAAAGCCGGGATGGGGCCTTGGCGAGGAGGCCGTGGGGATGCAGCACCCCAAGCAGCGCTTCCCACTGGTCCTGACCTGCGCCGGAGTGATGGGAAGCTGCTGCTCGGCGCAGGCCTCTCTCAGCTTGGCCCGCGGGATCCCTGCGGCTCCGGGCGAGGTGGCGGCCTGGGCTGCTTCAACTTGCTTTCAGAAGCAGCACTGCTCAACCTTGTTTGGGGCTTCTCTGTCTCACTGAAGGGGGTCCTAACATGCCAGCAGGTGACAAGCTGCGGCGGAGGGAGGAGATGTCTATGGGATGGCTCAGACAGAGGACCAGAACGCGACAAAAATGGGAGGGAATGCAGCCAGGAGGAGCCTAACGCAGAAGCTTCCACAGGAACCTGGAGGCTTCCTTAGGAAATGCCGGTGGGACCTGGAGAGCCACTTCACATGGTTTTGAAAAACCGGATCCTGCTGGGAAAGTGGTGTTTGAAGACGACGTCTGGCCCAAGAGTTCAATCCAATTTCCTGACTTCTGAACTTCGGACAGCTTTGAAGAAAATGTACACTGACAGTTCAACACGAAGCCCTAAGAGCTCACTCTCAAACCTGCAAACAAGGCCTACTTTTTAAAGATTTATTTATTTTTATTGGAAAGGCAGATCAGATGAATGGAGAGGAGAGACAAAAATCTCCCACTCACTGGTTCACTTCCCAAACGGCTGCAATGACCAGAGCTGAGCTAATGCATAGCTAGGAGCCGGGAGCCTCCTCCAGGTCTCAAACATGGGTGCAGGGTCCCAAGGCTTTAGGCCACCCTTTGCTGCTTTCCCAGGCCACAAGCAGAGCAGCCAGGACACAACCTGGCACCCATGTGAGTTCCTGGCGCATGCAAGGCAAGGATTTAGCCATTGAGCCATTGTGCTTGGCCCAAACGATGCCTTTTTAACAATAAAATACCAAAGTTCCGGCCAGGAGGCCCGCACTGGTGTGGGGTTAGGTGCTGTGGTGGGTGTCGCCCACAGCAGCTGGCCGTAGCAGCAACCACACTGCCATAAGACGGCGTGGAGTTCTCCCTGTGGACGGACGCCACCTGAAGCCACAGCACGCAAGCCCTGTCACGGCACGCGGGCTCTCAGAGCAGCTGCAGCACCCTCACAGCAAGGAGTCAAGCCCACATGGTGAGCCCCCACACGTGGGCTGCCACGGCGGGGGTGCAGCAGCATTCATCCGCACCGTCCGCTCCTCACTGCCCTTCAGCCGAGGACAGAACTGCAGCAAGGACTCGGCCTCTCCCCAGTGGGAGCACAGAGCACGGGGCGCTCCAAGCAGAATGTGACACAAGCATCCACGCTGCTGGCCGGGGCGTTCCCATGGCAAGACTAGGCCTGCTCCCAAAACTTAATCCCCAACCCAGGCTTTCCGGAAGATCCGGGATCCTTGTTCTTTTGAAATAGTGAGTCTGTGACAAGCGCTTCTCAGATGGGTCCATGGGGAAAGTTCCGGAAGTCTCCAGCAATGGAGTGTTTAGCCAAGCCTGTGGCACACTTCCAGCCTCAGACCAGAGCTTCCGGCGAAGGCAGTGAGAAAACGGCAACACGAACTGTGCTCTGCACGCAGTCAGCTCCACAGCCTGGCTCCCGCGAGGGGGTGTGGCAGGGGCGGGCCCTCAAGAGCACCTCCACTTCGGCTGGCCCCTCTTTGCTCTGGCCTGCACTGGATCCCAAGCCAGGTATCGGCACTGCCATTCCATGAACCACCAGGCAGCCCCGACGTGTGCCAGGCCCAGGCAGGTGTCGGGAAGACAGTCTGGGCTCATGGAGCTCTGCTGGGCACAGCACGCCCGATGGGAACTGAGACAGGGCCAGGACAGCCAGGTTGATGAGGGCTGGGAAAGTGAAGTCCTGGGGGCCGGTGGGGGTGTAGTGGGTGAAGTCTCCATCTGGGATGCCCCCTCCCACATGCGTGCAGGCTGTGTCCTGGCTGCTCACTTCCCACCTGGGAAAGCCCAAGGCCGTAGGACAGACATGGAATTCCAGGCTCCCAGCTTCAGTGTGGTCCACCCCCAGCTCTACAGGCCCTCTGGGGAGTGAATCAGAGATGGAAGCTCTCTCTCCCCCTTGGTAACTCTGCCTTTCAAATAAACACAACATAAATTTTTTAAAAATAGAAATAAATAAGCTAAGCTCTTGTCCAGAATCCCCCAGTGCCCGTCACTGTGGGCTATAATTGAGTTTTCCAGCACACACGAGGCCGGCAGTGGCTGGCTGGGTAAACCAAGCACATTGAGCTGGGCACATTGAGAAAAGGCACTTAAGGTGATGTGCTTTATTTTTAATATGGCACACATTTATTTTAAGCTCCGCCAACAACATAAAAAGGCAA